GTAGATAAATAGATACATAGATACATGAGATAGACAGACAGACAGATAGATAGATAGATCGGTAGAAAGATAGACCGGTAGATAGATAGCTAGGTAGGTAGATAGATAGGTAGGTAGGTAGGTAGGTAGTAGGTAGATAGACAGATACCGTTTGCGAGGGTCGGAGTCCGGGTTTCGGGGCCCTAAACCCTAAACCCTAAATACCCCAAACCCTAAACCCTAAACCCTAAATACCCTAAACCCTAAACCCTAAACTTTGAACTTTAGGGGCTGAAGACCTGGGAGTCTGAGTTGTTTACCATCACATCCCCCTGAAGTCCCCATAAAGGTATGGGGTTTAGGGTTTAGGGTTTGGGGCTTAGGGTTTAGGGTTTAGGGTTTAGGGTTTAGGGTATAGTAGAGCATGCCACCCCCCCAAAGGTTCATGCGTACCTACATAATAGGATGTAGGGTTTCTATATTCGGAATTGCTATTAGGATTTGGGGAAGAAACCCGCGTAAGCGTGCATAGGACCCTTCTTGGAGGCCCAGGGGACTTAGTAAGTCGGTTATAAGTAGGGTTATAATTGGGGTAACTCCAGTTAGGGTACTTATAGCTCTACTTTTAACCTACTTACTAACTCCCCTGAGCCTCCAAGTAGGACCCTTTGGCCCCAAAATGAAGATCTCCCATGTTTTCAAGCGTCCGGGGCAAGGTTTTGGAGGCCCCGCCCCTCGAGCCCTCAGCCCCCAGTGCTGCACCTCCAGTTCTAAATCCTAAGGCTAAAACCTCAGTTCCCAGGTTTAGGGTTTAGGGCTTAGGGTTTAGAGCCTAAAATCCGAGAATCCTAACGCTAAACAAACCTTGCTCAGGAGGCTAGCTACGAGCTGCCGAGCGAAGCTGTCATCACCGTCGGCAGCGAGCGCTTCAGGTCGGGCCATCCCCTCCCAAAACGATGAAGGTTTACATCCTAGGGTTGCGGGTTTAGGGTCAGGTTCAGGGTATGGGCCCTGTGCGTGTAGTTGGGTGTCGGTCTGTAACAAGTAGTAGCAAACGCTTTTTTGTACCATAATTTTGGCGGGGCGGCACAGGAATACTGGCCCGCCAGCCGGTCTTCGGCGAATATACCATAGGCTTAGCTGATTATGCCGTAAGTAGAGAGACTGTCAAAGAGCCCAAAAGCTTCGAACCCGCAAACCCCTGGACCCTAAACCCTTACGCAGAAACCCGAAAACCTAAAGCCCCTAAACCGCCAAACTTACAGCCCCAAGCCCGGAAAAACCGAACCCCGAAGCAAAGCCCTTAATGAAGCCCTCTTAAAGGAACTCCGCTACCTGAAAAGCTTGCCAGGTGCTGCGAGCCCATCTTCCTTCCTTCGCTTATGGGCCTGGAGTGTCCAGGTATTCAGGCCGCGATACAGCGAAGCCCCAGAAAGTTGGAACATGGATTTAGGAGGATTAGTGCTAGGATCCCTCATACTTAACCTTAAGGGTATGAGGACCATAATGTTCCAACTTTCTGGCTTCTACTATGCACTCTGCAGGCGTTTAGGGTTAGGGTTTTGGGGCCTGCACAAGGGCTTTTTTGGGAGTCTTCAAGGCTTGTCTTAAGGGCTCGATTGGGGTTCAATAAGGGTTCTGTAGGGGGGGGTGTCGGGGTTGTCCGTTTCCAGTAGTTTGCAGGAATGGTGTAGGGAGTTCATGCTTTATGGCTTTTTTCATAGGGCCTGGAAGGGTTTAGGGTTTAGGGTTCTTGGAAAATTCATACAGACCTGTTTTCCGGTTTTGTATTATCCGGTGTCGGGTTGTTCAGGGCTTAGGCTCAGGGTCTTACGCTTGGGCTTACGAGTCTAGGGTCTACAGGTTGTGAGTTTGAGATTTCATTCCACCCTAAACCCCAAACCCTAAACTTAAACCCCAAACCCCCAAACCCCCAGCCGTAAACCCAAAACCCCAAATCCTACATTTAAACCCAAGGCCCCCAAACCCCAAAACCCCAAAACCCCAAAACCCCAAAACCCCAAACCCCAAAACCTCCAAACCCTAAACCCCAAGCCCTACACCCGTATACACCCGAAACCCTACATACTTAAATCCCAGAGCCAAAAACCCTAAAACCCCCAACACCCTAAATCCTAACACCCTAAACCCCAAACCCAACACCCTAAATCCTACAGCCCATGTCTTCGTGCCCAAAGGCCTCATGAGCCCTTTACAGCAGAGCCTCAGGGTAAAACCTCCGAGGTTTTAGGCGTTTAGGGGTTTAGAGTTTAGGGGTTTATAGGGTTTAGGGGTTTAGGGGTTTAGGGTTTAGGGCTTCAGGGATTTAAGGGTTTAGGGATTTACGGTTTAGGGGTTTCAGGGTTTAAGGTTTAGGGTGTCGTCATGGCTTGTCTAGGTACCTCAAAGTCTTAAACTCGACATACTAGCCCGTCACCCGAAACCCATAAATGGGGCATCCATATGTAGTCAGAAACCTAAACCCTAGACCCTAAACCCAGAACCCTGAACCTTCAACGCAACGCCTTTTGAGAGCTCGCGCAGGCGCAAATCGCCGAAGCCGCGTCCAAGTGCGACGTCGATGTCCGAGAGGAGCTTTTTGCCAGCGTGCTGCTGGCAGGCTTGGTCATGGGCTTTTGGATTTCTCAAAGTTTATCAGGTTTCAGAATTCAGGATTCAGTTGTTGTGTTTTTGTTGTTTAGGCTTCCAGGGTTTAGGGTTTAGGGTTCCAGGATGTAGGGTAAGTTTGGGTTTGGGATGTGAATGGTTTTGCGATGCTTGGGGTCTTGTCGCCTAAACCCTAGAAACCCTAAACCCTGAACCCGAGACCCTGAATCCTACTGTTGATGATATAAATCCTGCATTGCCTTAAGGACCCTAAGCTATGGGAATTACTAGGAGGTTCATGGGTAGTTATAAGTGAGGTTATAAGTAGGGTAACTATACTTATAACGCATATTAGGGGACTTATAACCCCCTTTATAACTACCCATGAACCTCCAAGTATGGTATATTCCTTATCCCTAAACCCTAAGCCCTAAACCCTAAACCCTAAACCCTAAACCGTCCCTAAACCCTAAAACCCTAAACCCTAAGCCCTAAACCCTAAACCCTAAACCCTAAACCGACAGGAGTTATATCATCAACCGTAGGACCGGGCTCCAAGCCGGGAGGCCTGAACTCCGAGCCCTCCAACCTCTGAGCTTAAGGTTTAGGGTTTAGGGTTTAGGTGTTTCTGGATTTAGGGTTTGGGCATTGGTTCAGGGTTTAGGGTTTCGGGGTGGAGGGTTGGGGTCAAGACCCGGATTTGAGAATTGCCAGAACGCCTTGGAACACTGTGCAGAGTCCATCCGGAGTTTTTGCAGTTTGCTGATACACGGATTCCGGGATATAATGCGGCGAATCCAGTAGGGGCATACCGTACCTAGGCTTGAGGTTACGATCTGTTATACAGAAAAGTAGGTAACGAACAACAATACCCAGCCTTATACCCTAAACCCTAAGCCCTAAACCCCTAAACCCTAAACCCTAAGCCCTAAAGCCTTATACCCTAAACCCTAAACCCTAAAGCCTTATACCCTAAGCCCTAAACCCCTAAACCCTAAACCCTAAACCCCTAAACCCTAAACCCTAAGCCCTAAAGCCTTATACCCTAAACCCTAAAGTCTCAACCCAAAGCCCTGTACCGGGCTGCAAAACAAGCGGAGCTGTTGCGGATGATCCGCTCCCTTACGGCAAAAAAGCCGGCTGAGTCGCAGGTGTTCTTGACGTAGCAACCCCAAAACACATGCAAGACCCTCATATTATCCCTGAACCCTAAACCCTAAACCCTAAACCCTAAACCCTAAACCCTGAACCCTGAACCCTGAACACTAAACTCTAAAAACGTCGAGTGTTCAGGTTCAGGGTTTTCCCTATTTTGAATCCTACACCCGACAGCCTGAAGCCTAATCAGACCTACACCCTAAGCCCTAAACCCCTAAACCCTAAATCCCTAAACCCTAAACCCTAAACCCCTAAACCCTAAACCCCTAAACCCTAAACCCTAAACCCTAAAGCCTAATCAGACCGATCCAGAGGTGGCAGCTCGCTTCTGCCTGGGCTGTCGGAGAGGCTGGCCACCTCTTCGGCTCTAGGGTTTAGGGTTTAGGGTTTAAGGTTTAGGGTTTAGGGTTTAGGGTCTAGGGTTTAGGGTTTAGGGTTTAGGGTTGAGGGTTTAGGGGTTTAGGGTTTACGGATTAAGGTTTAGGGTTTAAGGTTTAGGGTTTAGGGTTTAGGGGTTAGGGTTTAGGATCTAGGGTTCAAGGTTTAGGGTTTAGGGTTTAGGGTTTAGGGTTTAGGCTCAGGGTTTAGGATTTTCGAATTGGGTGAGACCCGAAACTTCAGATCTTAGGAAGTTTAGGATGCAAGGCCCAGCAAGGGCCTACAGCCCACTTGGAGGGTCGGGGGACTTGGGAAGCGGGGAGTAAGTAGACCTCCTTGTACCCTAATAGGGATCCTGCTTGGGGTTATCATACTTATAACTCCATAAACATGATACTTATAGCTCTATAAAAATATGACACTTTTTCTACTGAGACTTGTAACTCTATAAGAATTTACTAATTACTTATATCTCAATAGAGTAGCTACTTCCTAAGTCCCCCCAGCCACTCCAAGGAAGACCCAAAGACCCCGAGGTCCAACAGTCTCGAAGCCAAGAGTCGACATCCCTAAGTCTTACCATAGGGTTTAGGGGTTTGGGGTTAGGGGTTTGGGGTTTAGGGTTGGGGGTTGGGGTTTAGGGGTTTGGGTTTAGGGGTTTGGGGTTTAGGAGTTAGGGTTTAGGGTTTAGGGTTTGGGGGTTTAGGGTTTAGGGGTTTGGGGTTAGGGGTTTAGGGGGTAGGGGTTCAGGGTTTAGGGGTTTGGGGTTTAGGGTTTAGGGGCCTAAATAATTACCATTATTATTTGTTGTTGTTGTTGTTG